CTCTCTCTCTCTCTCTCTCTCTCTCAATCTCTTCTCTCTCGAGTTAGATCTTGTCCCTTCCTCGCCTTTCTTGCCTCTCTCCCTTCTTCTTCTGTGCGCGATCCCTTGTCGTCGTCAACGATGACGATGACGATGACGATGACGATGACGACGACGGAGGAGAAGAGGATCCGATGTTGTTCGGGCCGGAGCGGCACGACGAACGTGGCCGGTCGACGGCGTCGTTCGCGCGTGTTGTTCCGGTGTGCAAAATGTGTGCAACCGCGGCACACACCGACCGACCGGCGCCATCTTGCGCAAATGCACACGCCAGCTGAAGGCGGAGCTTCTCCCGAAGGGCCTCTCCGTCGCTCTCTCCCGTCGTTTCTCTATCACTATCTTTCTCTCCCTCCGTCTCTTCCTCCCTCCTCTTGTCACTCTCACACTCTCTCTCTCTCTCTCTCTCTCTGTCTAGTTCATCGTAGCAGATGCAGCTTCAACCGCGATCAATCTTCCTTCTCGTCGCCGCGTTTCGCGTTCCCTCCGTAGCCTCCTCTCACCTCCGACACAGACACAGTGTGATATTCCTCCGGTCTCTGCGGTAGCTCCGCATCCCGGATGAGGTATCTCGTATGCCTCCGTTTCGGGAATTTTAGGTTTAGATTCTAGGGTCGATTCTATCAACACCGATTAATTCTCGTCGAGAGTGTTTAAGCGACATTCCATTTCTAAATTGTAATACTACAGACCGCGATAATAAGCGAGAAATACTCGCGAGAGAAAAAATATTACTCCGGTAAAAATGTAAAAGAGCTTGCAGCCATCACCGATCGTTCTTCGACTTCAACGTCGAACTCTTCGCGAATCGAGAATTCAATTTCGCGGAATGAATTTCTACTTACAATCTCTTAGGTCGTCTATTTTTCGCCTGGGTACACCCGAGTACGCCTTTTGCGATCGAAAAAGAGAGAGAGAGAGAGAGAGAGAGAGAGAGAGAGAGAGAGAGAGAGAGAGAGAGAGAGAGAGAGAGAGAGAGAGAGAGAGGAGAGAGA